CCTTGCCCACAGCGCCTACCTCGGCCCTACTCCCTTTCTCTAGCAATCTGCCTGATCCAGAAGTTCGTATGAATAGAATCGCTGGGTTCCTGCATTAGGTATGTCGGGATTATTTTATTTAACATCATGTCCTTAAGATTCATCCATGTAGCATGCATCAGAATTTCACTCCTTTTAGTGCTCTAGGCTTACTCCTGGCTCTGCACTCAGGGGTCACTTATAGTGGGGTTCAGGAGACGATATGCAGTGCTGGGTCAACTGCATGCAAGGCAAGACCCTGCCCCTGTCCTTGCTCTGCACACCCTCCTGTCTAGAGTCGAACACTATCGCATTCTGCAGGATGCCTTATTTCATTTATCATTTATCTGATGATGACCACATGGGTTGTTTCTTCCCGTCGACAACTGAGAATGCTGACACTGTGAACATGGGTGTACAGCTATCTATTTGAATCCGGCTTTTAAATTTGGGGGTCTCCATACCTCAATCTGGAATGGCTGGCTCATGAAGTGTTTCAGCAGTTGAGAAGTTGCTAAATTGTTTTCCCTTCCAATCGTTCTGTTTCACGTTTTCATACACAGTGCTCAAGGCTTCCTGAAGTTTCCTGGCCTTTGCCAGCCCTTGTTCTTTTCTATTTTGTTTGGTTTAATCATTGCCATTCTGGAAGGCATGAAGTGGCATATCTCATTGTGGTTTTGATTTGTATTTCCCTGATGACTAGTGAGGCTGAGTCTCTTTCCATGGACTGGCCGTCTCTTGGTATACCCTCTTTTGAACTGGGCTGTTTGTCACTTTTGTTGCATGCTGCTAAGAGTTCTTTACATATCCTGGATTTTAATTATTAAATATATAATATTCTAATTTTTTTCTGTCTTGATGTTGTATTTTGGCGCACAGTTTATTTTGAGGGTCTAATTGGTCTATTTTTTTTATTTTGATGTCATTTTTGCTGTTGCTTTTGGGTCACACCCAGTGATGCTCAGGGGAACTCCTGACTGCACTCAGGAATTACTCCTGACGGTGCTCAGGGGACCATATGGGATGCCGGAGATCAATCCCAGTTTAGCCACATGCAAGGCAAGCGCCCTCCGCACTATACTATCACTCCGGCCCCACATTCAAGCATATGTGCAAAACACGGTCCTTCCCTGGGGGTGTTCAGGGGCGTTTCCAGGCTCCTGGGGTGGTGGCTCGGACGGTGCACAGGGGACCGTGTGATGCTGCCGGGGACCAAACCTGAGCTTCCTGCATGCAAAGTGTGAGCTCAGCTGGTAAACCTTCTCTCTGTCACCAATGCTTGAACTTGTGGGGGGAGGGGGCACACCCGGGACTGCTCGGGGCCACACCTGGTGGGGACTGGGGGACTGTATGTGGCGCTGGGGTTTGAACCATTGCTGTGGTCACAGTCACATGCAAGACAGGTGTCTTACCCTCTGCTGCCTCTTCAGCCCCCACTTGGTTATTATTGTTGTCATTGTTGGTTTCTCTGGTCACACCCACCTGTGCTCAGGAATCACTCCTGACGGTCCTCAGGGGACCAGCTGGGATGCCAGGGATTGAACCCAGGCCAGCTGCATGCAAGGTGAGTGGCCAATCTGCTGGAATATAGCTCCAGGCCTACATGATTGAGGTTTTTTTCTTTTTTTTTTCTTTTTGGGTCACACCCGGTGTTGCGCAGGGGTTACTCCTGGCTCATGCACTCAGGAATTACTCCTGGTGGCGCTCGGGGGACTACATGGGATGCTGGGAATCGAACCCGGGTTGGCTGCGTGCAAGGCAAGCGCCCTCCCCGCTGTGCTATCGCTCCAGCCCCATGACTGAGTTTTTAAAACTGTTTTGACTGTTTCAACATGAGCTTCACTAGCTGCAGCCTCCTGCGGGTGTGTGGGCCTGGGTCTAGCCCATAGGTGCCCAGGCCAGATTCACCCCTAACCAGCAGAAAAGGCCATGGAGAGTCCTGGCCCCCTCAGCCCTTCCCCTCACCATCAAGCCATCCCTGGAGGGGGCAAGCTCTGCTGTTGGCACAGCATATGACAGATGGACAGTAACTGGCTCTCCATCAAAGGACAAGACCACAGGCAAGTTTGGGGTGACTGAAGCTGCTGCAGACAGACCCCAAGAGGTCAGCTGCCTCTCTGTGGACATGCCATTCAGAGTCCGTCCACATTGGAGGACTGTGACAGTGACAGGTGTGTGTTGGGGAGGGGAAAGGTTGGGAGGTTCCCTAGAGGAGGTGATTCTGGTGCTGGGTCTTGGTGTGTGGATCTACAGACTGGCGGATGCCTGCCTAAAAAGTAGTTTCATTGTGTTCTGTCAGCAGCACCCAAGGTGGTTGGGCCCCCACTCTGAGACATGATTCAGAGCCATCCCCCGGAGGAGGAGGGTGGGTGGGTGTGGTGGGAGGAGGGAGAGTGCTGCAGAGGCTCTGGGCACAGGCAGGCACTTCCTGGGAAAGTAGAGTCACTCATGACCATGCCTCACCCAACTGCCGCGGCTCTGAGCAGCCCACAGTGTTCCTGACTCGGCCAGCTCCAAGCATCCCGCCCGTGGGGGCAGCTGCTCCTGCGATGGCCAACGTAGGTTTGCTTTTGCTTCTGTCTCCCTCTGGGAGGGTCCCCTGGAGAATGGGGCCTGGGGGGAGCAAAGGGGCCGTCGGAGGGGAATGGTGGGACAGTTTGCCTGCAGGTCTGGGTAACGGCCAAGTCTCTGCCCAGGACCTCAGGGGCGCTTTCCTATCTCTGGGACCCCGTGCCCTGGAGAATAGAGGGAGACCAGACCAGGAGTCATCCATAGAGCACCGGGGGTCTGTGGGACTCGCGCCTGCATGCCAGGGTCCTGCTTGGTGTAAGCCCCTTGTAGCCAGAGGCAGAAGGGTCGAAAGCTGAAGTCTGCTGGGGTTGATGGACAGCAGGAGCCTCCACAAACCACAGATGGGAGTTCCCTGCATGGTAGATCCAGTCTGGACATGGGCCTTCGCCTGTCCCGGACAGGCCTCTAGAAGATGGGAGTCAGTGACCACCTCTGGGGCGGATGGCCAGCACGCCCCCCTCCAGGACCCTCTTGTGGGCGGCAGAGCATGGGCCTTGGGGATTTCAGGGAAAGAGTGGAGCTGGGGGTCCTGAGAGTCGTACAGGCCTGGACACCCTCTCTGCTGAGTGTGTGCTGGCCTCGCTGGGGCCAGCTGGGAGCATCTGTGGCCTTGGCCCTGCCACGAGAGACCCCGCCTCGCTGGCTCCAAGCAGACCCTGAGAACCAGCTCTGACTTTTCCTGGTCTGCTGACTGCCTCTTCTGGGGAAGCGCTTTGGGAACTCCCCAGAACTGCTCTCAGCCTCAGAACCAGTCTTTGGGGAGGGAGGGGTGAGGAGAGAAGCTTTTCAGATTTGGGCCCTGAGGTGGGAATGTGGCTTTGGCAAAGCTGCCCATTCCTTGAGCTTCGTCAGCAGCTGGTATCCATCCCAGACATGGGCTCTCGGGGCTCTGGGGACAGATGGGCACATAGAGGGGCCGGAGCGATAGCCCATTGGGGAGGGCCTAACACACAGCCGACCCAGGTTCAATCCCTGACTCCCCATATGGTCCCCAAACACAGAGAGGGAGGAGTGAAGAGCCAGGAGTAAGCTCTGAGCATACTTATTTACCCAGAGGAAGCTCCACTGCCCACAAGAGACTCCTTGGGAGGTGGGATTGGGAGTGCTGGCCCCCTAGCAGGTGATCACTGACTTCCCCCCACACCAGCCTTTTGGAGTTCAGTCTGGGACAGGCAAGAACCCATGTCCAGGCTGGATCTGCCCTCAGGGGACCCACGTCTGTGGTTTGTGTGGGCCCCACTGCCCATCAACCCACCAGCAGACCCCAGGTGTGAACCACCTATCAGGTGTGGCCTCCCCAAAGGAAAGCACACAGACTAGAGGGGTGCCCCAGGGAGCCTAGCTGAAGTCTGGGGGTGGGGCTTTCTCAGTTGGGGCCAGGGGAGTGTCTGAAGTCCCCATTCCCACCACCAAGGTCTCCTCCACTCCAGGGTCCTGCTCCCCTGTCTGTATCCCGGGACTGTAAAGGGGCCAGCCTAGACAGGGAATCCCTCCCTAGGGGGTCCCTTAGGGGACCCCATTCTGACACAGTCCTTGGAAACTGCTCCCAACTGCCTGTATGGTGGCTTAGAGACTCTGGGAGGTGCAAAGGGGGAGGCCAGATGCCATCACAGGTGTCTGGTGGGAGAATCAGCTGGAAAACTCCCCACAATGGAGCACCTGGTAAAGAGGCAGATGAGGCACGTGCTGGGCAGTGTGACATGGGTGACAGCAGTGTCAGCTATGTGCTTAAGCATGATAGGTGTTTGCATTAGGTATGGCTGGTGTACACTGTCAGGTGTGCACTGTCAGGTGTGGACTAACTATGGTGGGTGTGGACTGTCTGTCAGCTGTGGACTGTCAGGTGTGCACTGTCTGTCAGGTGTGCACTGTTTGTCAGGAATGAACTGTGTCAGGTGTGCATTGTCTCTGTTAGGTGTGCACTGACTCTGTCAGGTGTGCACTGACTGTCAGGTGTGTGTTGTCTCTGTCCAGCTGTGTCCGACTATGCTGTTAATCCTATCTAAACAGTGTGTTGTTAGACAAGGGATGTGCTACAGCATAGGCTCGGTGTCAAGTGAGAGTTCTAGCCCTAACTCGGGGAAGCGCAGCATCACACCTGGAACCACTGAGGTCAGGAAGCACTGCCTGTTCGGGGCAGAGGCTGGGTTGGAGGAAACACCTGTCTGGTGGTGGAGGCTGAGGGGTTTAGGAGATGCCCGTCTGATGGCGAAGGCTAAGGGGTGGCGGGGAGGAGACTCCTGGTCTCCAGGGCAGTGGTGTCCGGTGCTGGGGTGGGGGCGTCCAGCACGGCAGCTCTCTACAGAGGGGCCTCCTGGGCCCTGGGAAGTCGTTCCCGGGCCGAGCTGGCTCGGAGTAGGCGTGTGGGAAGGGGGCTCGCTCTTCGGGCTCTCACGCTCCGGCCCTTGCAGTGCCGGGACTTCACGGCCCACACGGGCTACGAGGTGCTGCTGCAGCGGCTGCACGACGGGAGGAAGATGTGCAAGGACGTGGAGGAGCTGCTGCGGCAGAGGTGAGTCGGAGCACTGCGGGCGGGGAGGGACCCTGTCGGGAGTCGCGGGGTCCGAGGGGCCCCTGCGGCTCGGTGAGAGACGGGCAACTTGTCCTCGCAGGGCCCAGGCCGAGGAGCGTTACGGGAAGGAGCTGGTGCAGATCGCGCGGAAGGCGGGCGGCCACACGGAGGTCAAGTAAGCGGGGCCCAGGCCCACCGGAGTCGGGGGAGGGGAGGGGGCGTGGCTCCCGAGCACCGGGATCAGTCCCTGCGCGCGGAGAACCTCCAGGCCCCAGCATCGTTAGGTGCACGACGGTCTCTCGCTGACCCCGGGGTCTCCAGGCAAGTCGGCAGGGCAGGAGACAGGCTCTGCTGGCACCCAGCCCTGTGCAGTTCAGCAGCCCGGAGCTTCAAGGAGTGTCAGGGCCGAGCGCCGCTCCTGGGCGGAGCTGCGCGTGCGCCCTGGCGGCCAGTCGTCTGAGCGCCGCTCCTGGGCGGGGCCGCGCGTGCGCCTTGGTGCCCAGCCTATTAGCCCCGGTTCTGGGGGTGGGGCTGCGCGTGCGCCGTAGGGCCCAGCCTATTAGCCCCGGTTCTGGGGGTGGGGCTGCGCGTGCGCCGTAGGGCCCGTCCCTCTGAATGCCGCTCCTGGGCGGGGCTCCGCGTGCGATTTGACCTCTTCGTCCTGTTCTTGCAAAGAACCGTCTCTGGACCTCAGGAGCCCCTGTGCAGGGCTGGGCCAGCGCAGTTTGCACGCCAGGGGACTACCGAGGGCCCTCGCAGCACTTTCTGTGGCGCTTAGGGACTGCCCTGGGGAGTGAGGACTCTCCCTGCTTCCCTGAGACACCGCTCCACCCCCTGGACCCCCGAAAGCCCCCCCACCCCCAACCACCACCACCACCGTTCGAGTGTCCTGGAAAGTCAGCATGACATCGCTGTCGGGTTTCTAAGGACTCGAGGGGCCCCTTTCCCACCCGTCGCCAAAGTAAGCAAGGGAAGAACTCAGCGACGACGTAGAAGAGGTGGGAGAGTAGCCAGAGGAACGCTGGGTGCCCAGAGGGTCTCCCTCCTGCTGGGCGTGCTGTGCAGCTGTACTGAGTGACTCACCCTCTCTGAGTCTGACCCGCCTAGGCCTCCTGGAGGGGAACTTGTGTGCAACCGAACAGGAACGGGTTGGGGGACGCCCAAGTTTGTGCATGTGGCTGGAGCAGGCTGGGCGGAGGCCTCAGGACACCGGTGGGGGGTGTCTGTTGACATACCTTTGCCTTTCCCCCAGGGGGAGTGCTGTCTTTCAGGGGCTCAGGGAGCAGGACTTCGAATCTCTGCCGAATCTGACCTCCCTAGCCAAAAGGGAGAGGGAAGGAGAACTTAGGGACAGGGAGGTGGTGGTGACAAGAGTGAGAAGCCAGTGGGAAGAAGGGGGCAGTGGGAGGGGACGGGGAGCCTCGGGAAGTGGCCGTTGCAGTACAGCTGGGGACCTCAAGAAGGGGTTGGACCGTGGGGGGGGGGGGTTGTTCAGGAAGGGTGGGGGCACCTTGAAGTGACCAAGGCTGGGCTCTGAGCTGACGCCCACCTGCACCCCCATAGTCCCGGAGTGTTCACTCACTTCCTCTCTCTGGGCTCTCTCTGGGTCTGGCCGTGAGAGGGGACATTGCCTCGATGATCCATCCAGGAGTTGCTTCGATGATTTTGTGGTGACCAGCAGAACGTGCCAAGTCATGGCTCTCGGCGTCGTGGGGTTCCTCTGACCGTGGGGACACAGTAGCCTTCACCATTTCCTTCAGGCCACAGCCCCTCCTTGGCCCACTGAGCCGATGGCTCGGGTCCCCGGGGCGGTCAAGTGAGGGCAAAGATTGTGGAGTACAACTCCCAGCCACTTGGTGGTCACTAAGCTCTGTGGCTGCCTGTGTGTCCTGCCCAGGGGAGTGGAATTCTCCATGTGTTCCTTGACCTGTGGGTAAAGCAGCCAGCATCTGTCTAGCAAGTGCGTATCGAACACTTCCTGTGTGTTCAGTTCTCGCCTAAGCCAGAGGGATTAAAAAAATTTACCAAGTGGGGCGATAACACAGCGGTAGGGCGTTTGCCTTGCATGCAGCCAACATGGCCGACCCGAGTTCGATTCCTCCGCCCCTCTCGGAGAGCCCAGCAAGCTCCCCATGACGTATTTCGATATGCCAGACACAGTAACAACAAAGTCTCCAATGGAGACGTTACTGGGCCCGCTCGAGCAAATCGACAATCAACGGGAGGGCCTTTACCTTTACCTTTTTACCAAGTGGGGCAGGAGCTATGGCACAGCAGGGAGGGCACTGACCTTGCATGCAGCCAACCTGGGTTCCATCCCCGGAATCCCATTCACACGGCCCTCCAAACCTGCCAGGATTGATTCCTGAGTGCAGGGCATGGGGTAAGCCTTGGGCCAGGTGTGCCTAACCTCAAAATCGACACAGGACTAACGATAAGGTTCCCTGTCCCCCTGAACCCAGAGTCGAGTGCAATGGGGCTGACTCTGTTCTCCATCCAGTCCTTCCCTCTACGTCAGGACCTCCCGGCAGAGCTTTGGCTCCTCCAGGAAGCCCTCCGGATATTCCAGTCTTGCTCAAGCATCAGGGTCTTGGCCTGCATCAGCTCTACCCCACCCCATCTCCACAGCAGCCGGGAGGCCTTTTCCCCAGGGACCATGGAGGGTGATGATGACAGCCTGGGTTGCTGCATGGCTACAGAGACTGGCAGAGATATGAAGGGGGTTGATGTTGGGAGAGTGTGGGGGATGGCCACTCACCCTCAGCCCCCGGCCCCCTCCTGCTCTGGTTCTCATTCTTATCCTCTTGAAGATCAGGGTCCACAGGAAGGAGAGTAGCCAGGGGGGGACGTCGTCGCCCAGGTACATTTTCAGAGGTAGCCCAGAAAATGCTGAGGGTATGGTTTACCCGCCTCCCCCCCACCTCCGAGACTCTGCATCACCCCCAGCCCCACCCTGCAAGAGGGAGCCCCTCTTGGCCTGAAGGCTGCCCATGAAGAGCGTGTGCTCCCTTGTTTGGGGATCTGAAGCTGATCTGCAGCAGATGGGGGAGGCAAGTGACCAGGATGCCCTGCACCCACCACCAGTCCTTTCTGTGGGGGTGACTTGGGCCTCGCCTAGTCATGCTCATGGTTCACTCCTGGTTGGCTCCCGAGGACCCTGTGGCGTGTGGGGAATCGAACCAAGGTCTCACACCTTAACCCCGACACTACCTCCTGTGGCCCAAATACCTGCCGACTCTCCACTCCCAAACGCGTGAGAGAAAGGCCGTCAGTCAGGTCGGAGATAAGGTAGACGTATCTCCAGGGGTCTGCAGACGGGGGGTGCAGGGGTGCAGGGGTCCGCAGACAGGGGGATGGGCGCACCTCCCTCTGCCCATGTCTCCAGGTGGCCAGTACCCTGGGAGGCCCCCAAAATTCCTTCTTTGAGCCTTTTTTTAGGCTTCACTATAAAAAGTGTACCTGGCCCTTGGCCACTGAACCCCCCCCCCCAGCACCCTATCCCCCCCAGGAAACTGGGCATAGGCCTGCAAGTACCACCCTCTCTTGATGCTGATTTCCCTGGTAACCAGGCCCTCCCACCCCAGCCACTGGTGGCGCCGGTGGAAGCAGATGGGGATGAGAGCGAGTGGAACTGGGGCTTGCTTGTGGGAGCCTCCTTTGTGGTTCCTGAGAGCAGGGACAGGCAGCGGCTTTCCTGTTGGAACTTCTTTTTCCTCGGTGATCTCTGCCCCTCTGTGTGAAGACAGGCCGATGCTTCCGAGTGGTGGGGAGAGGCCGCAGGCCTGCTAACACCAGCTAGCTGGACGCGGAGGAGCCAGCAGGGAGTGGGGTCAGCACCACAGGGCCCAGGGCTGGCACAGACCTGCAGGGAGGATGCAGGAGAGATGCCACCCTGACAGAAACCCGACGTGCGAACAGGGTTTCAGGCGCAGGTTCCGGGAGGTGCGTCCAGAAGGACAATAGGAGGCGTTGCTCGTGGCCATACTGCTGCCTAGTACCAGAGGGCAGAGGGGCCATGGGGGCACTGTCCTGTCCCTGCCACGTAGTGTACACACAGAGCCCAAGGACGAGTGTCCCTGGGTGGCTGGTGGGACAAGGGAAGCGAGAAGAATTGGGTGACCTGGGTGTCCTGGGGCAGGGAAAGCCCGAAAGTGTCCCTGAAACCTCCACAAGGCCAGAGCCAGTGAACTGTGCTCTTGCTGGCCTGGCCTTTGCCGCCCTCGGGTGACTGCAGCATCCCAGACACAGGGTGCCCCCCTGCACTCGAGAGGGGTGGGGCAAGAGCAGGCGGGGTCCCACCTGCCGTGTGTGGGAGCAGAAGACGGGATCCCGGGCCGGACAGTCCATGGTGCTGAGAGTGAGGTTGGGAGGGGGCCACGCTGAGCCTAGAGAGGTCCTGTGAATGGAAGGGGGCGCCCAGGGGATAAGGGTGCGTGGGGAAGGGGGAGATTGGCGGTGTAAGTGCTGGCAGAGGAGCTGGACACCCACCCGAGGGTGCCCCTGGAACCAGCACCTGCCCATCTGCTAGCGGGGCCCCTGCCCTAACAACCCCACCCCGACCCCAGACCACCGCCACTGGCTCCAGCGCTCAGCGCTGCTCCCCGGGCGAGCTCCTTCGTCGAGCTGGGCCTCGTTTTGCTCATCTGGGAAGTGGGCCTGGTCAGGCCCGTCCCCTGCAGCGTCCTCCTGCGGCTCCTGGGCCCCTCGCCGCGGGGTCGCTGGGGGAGACGCTCACTCGGGGCGCGGGCCGGGCGTGGGTCGACCCTGCTCCGGGCTGCCCTCCGCGTCTCCCTTTCCCTGTCGTCCAGCGAGGCGGTGGGGTGCGTCGCCGGACCGGCCCGGTCGCGGCTGCAGGGACCCGGGGAGGCGGGGGGCGGGCGTCGGGCTCCGTGTGGCCAGCAGGGGGCGCGCGCCGCCGCGGCCCTCCGGGCCCCGCTGCCCGCTGGACCAGCCCTGGACGCCTGGGCGGATTCTGCGCTTAGCCCGAAGAGATGCAAACGGGGAATTTCGCGCCCCCCCCCCCCCCCCCCCGAGTGCAGGGGGACAGCGCTCCCTCGGGCGGTGCAGTTTCCCACCCCGGGGTCTCCCTCTGCGCCCCCGCCTGGGAGGGGCTTTGTGTGTGCGGGGGCGGGGGTTGGGGGGATTCTGCGGTCCCGGCCCGGGTTGGGGGCGGTGTCGCTGCCCCCTGAACTGCCCGGTCGAGTGTGGGTTTCAGATCGATGGCACGCTTCCGAAGAATGTTCCAGCAGCTTTGCTTAGACTCAGAAAAAGCGTCTCTGAGATTCAGAAGAGACTGAGGGTCCCGAGTTTCCATCTGTCCGACAGCCACGACAGCCACGACAGCCACGACAACCACACCTTCGGGCACCCCTGCCCCTGCTCCCCCCAGACAGGGCTGCACCTCTTGGCTCCCCTTCTGGTCCCAGCACCCAAGTAAAGACAGCCTGCCTGCCTTCTTCCCTCCTCCCTCCCCCTTCCTTCCTTCCTTCCTTCCTTCCTTCGTTCCTTCCTTCCTTCCTTCCTTCCTTCCTTCCTTCCTCTCCTTCCTTCCTTCCTTCCTTCCTTCCTTCCTTCCTTCCTTCCTTCCTTCCTTCCCTCCCTCCCTCCCTCCCTCCCGTCCTTCCTTCCTTCTTCCTTCCTTCCTTCCTTCCTTCCTCCTTCCCTCCCTCCCTCCCTCCCTCCCTTCCTTCCATCTTTCCTTCCTTCCTTCCTTCCTTCCTTCCTTCCTTCCCTCCTTCCCTCCTCCCTTCCCTCCCTCCCTCCCTCCCTCCCTCCCTCCCTCCCTCCTTCCTTCCTTCCTTCCTTCCTTCCCTCCTTCCCTCCCTCCCTCCCTCCCTCCCTTCCTTCCCTCCCTCCCTCCCTCCCTCCTTCCTTCCTTCCTTCCTTCCTTCCCTCCCTCCCTCCCTCCCTCCCGTCCTTCCTTCCTTCTTTCCTTCCTTCCTTCCTTCCTTCCTCCTCCTTCCCTCCCTCCTCCCTCCCTCCCCCGTCCTTCCTTCCTTCCTTCCTTCCTTCCTTCCTTCCTTCCTTCCTCCTTCCCTCCTTCCCTCCTTCCCTCCCTCCCTCCCTCCCTCCCGTCCTTCCTTCCTTCCTTCCTTCCTTCCTTCCTTCCTTCCTTCCCTCCTTCCCTCCTTCCCTCCTTCCCTCCTTCCCTCCCTCCCTCCCTCCCTCCCTTCCCTCCCTCCCTCCCTCCCTCCCTTCCTTCCTTCCTCCCTCCCTCCCTCCTTCCTTCCTTCCCTCCCTCCCTCCCTCCCTCCTTCCTTCCTTCCCTCCTCCCTCCTTCCTTCCTCCCTCTCCCTCCCTCCCTCCCTCCCTCCCTCCCTCCCTCCTTCCCTCCCTTCCTTCCCTCCCTCCCTCCTTCCCTCCCTTCCTTCCTTCCTTCCCTCCCTCCCTCCCTCCCTCTTCCTTCCTTCCTTCCTTCCTTCCTTCCTTCCCTCCCTCCCTCCCTCCCTCCTTCCCTCCCTCCCTCCCTCCCTCCCTCCCTCCCTCCTCCCTCCTTCCTTCCTTCTTTCCTTCCTTCCTTCCTCCCTCCCTCCTTCCTTCTTCTTTGTTCACCAGCCAGGGGACCGGGCAGGCCAAGGCGGTCACTGTTCCCCCGGACAATCTGTTCATCCCGTGCTGGACACCCCTGTCCTGCTGTGCTGCCTCACTCACCCACTCCCTCCACGTCGGCCCTGCTAAAGGCTGGCCGGGACACCTCCCTCCAGCCCCAGCCAGTCCTGGAGACTGTAGGAGAGACCCAGGACCCCCCCCCCCCTAAGATCCAGCTGCTTCGTGCTGTCCAGAGGGAGGGGGTTGGGGTCAGGAAAGTGCTCCAGAGGCTGCAGTGCGAACTCTGTGGGTGGGAGAGTGGGGCTCCCTCCCTTGCACCACATGATACCCCAGCTCCTGGCCCAGCCCTCGGAGCACTGCTGGCTCTGCTCCCCAGGCAAAAGGCAACAACAACAAAAGTCTCACGAAGAGACTTTTCACCTGCACGTCAGTCACGCGTGGTGGGTGCAAGGGGAATGAAGGGGTTGTGCACCCACATAACGCTGGTGTGCAGCCGGCCCTACAGGGACCCAGTCCTGTGCTCTCGCTGACCCCGGCTCCTCTGTCCTGCAGCTCCCTGAGGGCTTCCTTTGACTCCCTGAAGCAGCGTAAGTGCTCCCCCACCCCATGGCAGGACCTCCTGGGAACACTCGAGGCCCCACAGACCAGGGGCTCTGGGAGGGGGGCACTGGGCTGTGAGGCTGGGGGAAGGGTTGGGGATGCCAGGTCTAGTCGGGAGCATGTGGGGTGGCCCGTCAGTTCTGATATCGGGGTGCCCCAGAGATGGAGAGCGTGGGCAGCTCCCACATCCAGCTGGCGCTGGCCCTGCGCGAGGAGCTGCGGAGGCTGGAGGAGTTCCGGGAGCGGCAGAAGGAGCAGCGGAAGAAGGTGAGGCTGGAGGGGCGGGCCCTGCGGGGGCTAGCATGTCGCAGCTTGGAGTGGGGTGACTCGGAGGACGGGGCATAAGCAGAGGCCAGGCCGGGGGCCCTGAGGTCCTGAGACCCCCTAAGGACACTGCCCTTGTTTTGGAATGCCAGGGAACACCCTCCATCACCCCAGGGGATCACGGCTGGGTTGGGGTGACAGCTGGGGGACCCTAGGGAGACTCTGGAAACTGGTCCTGAATCAAGGGCCAGGGCTGTTGGCTGGGGGGGAAAGGCAGACTTGGGGGGACAGTCATTACAGCTCCATGCAGGGTAGCCCCTGGCTAGGGGACCGGCAGTCTTGGGGAGTGGCCTGAGGAGTCTCCTGTTACTACAGGGACATCTCACCCATGCACCACCCTCAGGGCCTCCCAATGAGGAGGGCACCCCAGGCAGAGCAGGAGCTGGCAGCCCACTGGAAGCACTCCTGCCAGGCTCACGGAGAGCTGACCAAAGGGCAGAAAAGGCCGGGGTCTCACAGTGTCCACACAACTGACCAGGTGGTAGAAGGAGGCGCCAGGTCATGGCTGCAGCCAAGCAGAACCTCATGTCCTAGTGAAGGCGCAGGCTCTGTGTGCCTCAGTTTCCCTCTTGCAGGGCGGGAACTCAATGTCCCTCTCCCGGTGTCTGGCGGCCCAGCACAGAACAGGTCTCTCAGTCTGAAATCCGGCCTGGCCGCACCTTTGCCTCAGGCGCCAGCTGAGGGCTGGACTTTCAGATGCTAAATTTGGGGCCCCCCAAAACCGGCCTCAGTGCAGCCCAGCCCTGAGCTGTGGTAGGGGGCCTGCACCCCAGGTTGGCTATTTTGAGCTCTGTGTGGTCACAGGGGCATTGGGTGAGGTGAGCACAGCGTGTGAGACAGAGCAAAGCTCTTGCAAGCAGAGAGCTGGGTGTGTGCGTGCATTTGTGCACTCACACGTGCATACGTATACACATGTTCATGTGTGTGCTCACATGTGTGCGTGTATGTATATGTACATGTGTGGGGTGTGTGCATGTGCAGGTGGGGGAGGTTGTGTGCACGTGTTTTTTCACATACGCACGTGTGTGTGTATGTTCACAGTGGGCATGCATGTGTGTTTTGTACGTACGTGTGTGTGCGTTGTGTGCACGAGTGTGTGTGCCTGTGTATGCAGGAGTCGTCTGCTCGCCCTCACGTCCCCAACACCCCGGGGTGCCGCCTGAGCTGGTGGTTCCTTTGCAGCTCCAGCCTCTGTCCCGCCGAGTCCCGCCTTTCTCACACGGGGAGACGGGGGCTGCTGGGCGGGGCTGCCCGGTGTGCCCACTGGCACAAGTGCTGTGTGTGCTTGTGGGTGGGGTCTGGGGCTCTGCAGGTGCCAGAACATGTGGGCAAACAAAGCCAGGGGGCCATGTCCAGGGATGTGAGTGTGTCTGTGTCTGCATTCCTCTGCACATGCCTGTTACGTGTGTGTGCGTGCCCAAGTGCCTGCATGCGTGTGTGCTTGCGTGCATACCTGCATGTATGTACATGCCTTCACGCTTGTATGCACGCCTGCCTGCATGCATGTGTATACCTACAAGTGTGCGTGCCTGCATGCAGGGATGCACGCATGCTCGAATGTGTGTGTGCCTGTGCGTGTGTGTGCATGCCCCAGTGTGTGCACGCCTGCATGTGTGCAGGCATGCCTGTGAGTGCCTGCATGCATGTATGCCTGCCTACCTGCACACGTGTGTGTATGCCTATATGCGTGTGTACATGCACATATGGGGGTTGGCTCTCCTACACTGGACACCATGCCTGACTGGACTCAGGGACAGTCAGCAGGACAGGCCCAGGCTCTGGGCTCCTCTTAGTCTGGCTGTGGGAGGCGGCACCTGTTAACGGTCCCTCAGCCAGCCTGGGAAGCTGCCCCTCATCCCCAGACCGAACTGGCCTCTTGGCCTGAGGGTGTCCTGGGGCTGCAGCCCAGGTCAGCACTCCGTGTTCCCCCCTCCCCCAGTACGAGGCCGTCATGGACCGTGTCCAGAAGAATAAGCTGTCACTCTATAAGAAGACCATGGAGGTAAGTTGCAGGTTTGCATCGGGGGTGTGGACTCCCCAGAGCTAGGGCGGGGCTGGGCTAGCTCAGACCACTCAGTCCATGGATACCCTACGGCCAGGGCCGGAGAGTGCCCCCTGGAGGGAGGCCCGGGGGTTCAGCCCAGCACTGCAAAAACAAAGGACAAAATGATCCAGTTCCAGTCACACCTGGGCTTAGCAGGCCCTGGCTGACCAGAGGTGCTTCCTGGCTGCTGGCAGGGCAGGGGTGGGCGGGTGAGTCCCAGCTGCAGGGAGAGGGGTCCCCTGAGCTGGGTTCTCACAGTAGCGGTTTTCACCCTCCAGACTGTGGCCTTGCCAGCCCACAGGTACAACCAGGTTAAAAACATCGACTTGGGCAGCCCAGTGAGCAGAAAAGGGGGTGCCATGGAGGGCTCCGGGACCCTGCGTGGGGTGGTGTGATCCCCATCTTTGCCGAGGCTCCGCGCGTGGACAGGGCCACCCGGTGCCCGGGGAAGGGGTCTGGGAACAGGCTCTGCTGTCCCCGGCAAGTGTGTGTGTGGGGGGTTCCCCCCAGGGAGAGAGCAGGGAGGGAGGCTCTGGGTGCAGTGCCCCCCGTCACGTCTCTGCCCCGCAGTCCAAGAAGATGTACGAGCAGAAGTGCCGCGACGCGGACGACGCCGAGCAGGCCCTGGATCGCGTGAGCACCAGCGGCCCCCAGAAGCAGGTGGAGAAGGTGTGGCTCAGGGAGGAAACTGAGGCCCCGCGGCCGAGGCTGACGTGCTCAGGACCAGGGAGCAGCGGGCCCCAGCCGGGTGGGGCTAAGAGTACCCCTCACCCCGGGGACAGGATTGCCCAGGGGCTGCGGGCCCGCCCTCCCCAAGTGCCTGTGTGCGCGCACACCCCCAGCTCTGCCTTCCTGTACCTGGGATGCCGGGGTGGCTCTGGGGTGCCCCCCTGTAGGCCGTGAGGGTGCGGTCAGCTCTGCCCCCGCCCTCCCTTGTCTCCTCAGAGCCAGAACAAAGCCAGGCAGTGCAAGGACGCGGCCACTGAGGCAGGTAGGTGCCCGCGACTCCTGGTCACCCCCAGGACACCCTCCCTGAGCCTGCTGGAGGTGATGGCCATCTAACGCGCGCACACAGCTCCCCTCCTCTCCTCGTCCTCTGCCCAGATGGGGCTGGTGCTCGGCACGCGCCCGTCGCGGTGCCAGGTGTCATCTCCGGCCTGGAGCACACAGGCCCAGAGAGGTCAAGTCACGTGCCCTGATTGTGCAGAAAAGCCCGGCTCCTCCCTCCTCTGCTCTGCTCCTGCCCACACAGCGGCTCCCTTAGCTGGGTGCCAGGTGATCCCCAGCGGTGCAGAGTTTTCCGCGAGCCTCATCTCCCCCTCTGAGGGCCAAGAAGGGACCTGGTGGACTCTGACCTCGTGGAAGTCTCCAGCGGGGGCTGCAGGGCACAGGGGTGGCCCCAGGCTCCATGGGTGCAGCGGGGCCCTGTGCTTCCAGAGCGGCTGTACCGGCAGAACATCGAGCAGCTGGAGAAGGTGCGGTGCGACTGGGAGCAGGAGCACCGGACCACGTGCGAGGTGAGGTGGCCCTGGGCGGGAGGTGTCAGGCTCCAACACCTCCTGGGGTCCCCGGGCACCCCCCAAACCCAGGCTGACACGGTGGCCTAGAACCGAGTTTGACCTGCTCAGAGATGAGCTGGGAGAGTTGTTGGTCCAGCTGAGGGTCAGGTCAGGGGAAGGGGACAGGGGCTTTAGGGCTCGGGGTCCCCTCCCTGGCCACCCCCAGGGGCTCCGCTCTGTATGGGCGGCGGAACCCCTGCAGGCTGCTCAGCGCCCCCTTCCCCAAAGTCTCAGGGGCTGGCCCCCAGGTGTGGGCCCCGGGAGGAGTCCCTCTAGGCAGCCTCAGCAGTTGGGGCCTGCTGCATGCAATGTTGGGGGGCTCTGCTGCCCCTCACCCCTCGCCCCCCGCAGGCCTTCCAGCTGCAGGAGTGCGACCGGCTGACCATCCTGCGCAGCTCGCTGTGGACACACTGCAACCAGCTGTCAATGCAGTGCGTCAAGGATGACGAGGTGCGTCCGGCATGTGGAGGGGGTCCTGGGCCCCAGGAGCCGATGGCCAGGCTCTCCTCTGGCCCAAGCCTCTCGGGATGTCTTGGTCCCCATCCTCCTGAGCGCAACATGTTGGATGGTTAGGGGGTCGCCCCAGCGGAGAGGAGCTGCCCCCTCCCCCCACAGGGCCCCCAGCTGTGGTCCTGGCTTGGCCCCAGCTGCCCATGAACTGTGGGTTTGGAGATTTTTTCCTTCCGGAATCGGCCGGGGCCAAGCGTGCTGAATTCTTGCTGTATGACCTTGGACTAGTCTCTGGCTCTCTCTGTTCCCTGGTGAGGAAGCAGGGTCGCCTCTGGGGAAGCAGCCCCCACCCAGGGCAGCAGCGGGCTTCCCTGCCTGGGGTTTCTCGAGCACCTGCAGTGCAGCGCCTGGAAGCTGGCGGCAGGGCTCTGCAGGCGGGCAGGACCCCAGTGCCCCAGGGCTGCCCCCGGGCCCCAGCAGGGCCGTAGCAGGGCGCCTGGCCTCAGCTCCCTCCTTCCCTACGCCCAGCTCTACGAGGAGGTGCGGGTGGTGCTGGAAGGCTGCAGTGTGGACGCCGACGTCGACAACTTCATCCAGGTCAAGAGCACCGGGACGGAGCCCCCAGGTGAGACCCGTCCCTCTGGTGAGGCCGCGGCCCGGGGGCGGCGGTCCCTGAAGGCGCAGCCGCGGGACCCTCCACCCTGAACAGGAGTGGTGGGGGTGGATACATTGGGGTGGCGCTCCCCCCCCCCCCCCCCCCCCCCGTCTCTCCTGGAACTGAGCGCTCCTCCCCGAGCACGGGGTGGGCCCAGGCCCCACGGGAAAAGGGATGCAGCCGGGCTCTGTGGAGGTGGACAGGCCCTCATGGCCCGTCGCCCGCAGCCCCCGTGTCCTACCAGAACTACTACGACCGGGACGTGACAGTGACGGGCAGCTCTGGCGTCTCCCCCTCCTGCGGCATGATAAAGAAGTGAGGTGTCGGGGTGACGGTGATGGGGCTGGGGGCGCAGGAGGGGGGCGCAGCCGCTGCTCCTCAGCTCCCCTCACTGGCTCTCCCTGCCTGTGTGGTCACTGGGCACCTGCTGTGGGCTGCGCAAGGGGACGGCGAGGTGTCCACGTGACCCCTGCGGACTCACCAGCGATGTGCTCAGAGCTCAGAGCTGCAGGCTGGGCCACTGGTAGGCTGCTGGGCTGGGGTAGGGTGGGGGAACGGGGGCGGGGGTGGACAGGCCCTCCCACGGGCCTTGGGAATATTCTCCAGGTGCATCTGGGGCTCTCCTGGGCCCGGGTGGGGTTTCACAGGGCTCAGTGCCTGCGCATGCACTTGCCTGTCCCCGCCTGGGTTCAGGCCCCTTCCCCCCAACAACAGCGCCGGCCCCTCCTGCCCAGGGGTCTTTCTGGCTCTGTGCTCAGGAGCGACTCCTGGCCAGGCTGGAAAGAATATATGGGGTGCTGGGGATCAAACCTGGGTTGGCTGCGTGCAAGGCCAGCGCCTTCCCCTGCTGTCCTCTCTCTCCCTGGCCCGTGGCCAGCAGCCAGGTCCTCAAGGGGCCCCTGTGTCCTGGCCATGGAGGGACCACCCCCAGCCCTGTGCAGGGACAGTCCTGCTTTGGGGAGGAGGGTGAAGGGAGTGGGGAGGAGGAACCCTGGGAAACCCCAGAGCGCCCGAACGGGGTGCGGGTGGGCACCAGAGGCAGAGCAGGAAGTACACCTCCTGCCTTCCAGAAGCTGACAAAGTGAGGGTGCAGGGCCGGGGCTTCACACTCCTGCTGCATAGCGCCAGACCTGGGGGGCTAGGCCTCTATGCACCCCCAGTCAGGCCCTGAGTCTCAGCCCAGATAAGCCTCAAACCCGAGTTTCTCCATCTTTTTCCTGACCACGCCCCCCACAGGTTGGTTCCTTTTCAGGCTGCTCTACCCCCATTGGCATGATTTTCACCTGTGACCCTGTGGCATCCATAGGGGGCCCACAGGGGGCCCCTGGCTGAGAATAACCAGCTGATGGAAGCACCCCAACGTGCACGCATGGGGATCAGAGAGAGGCCCTGGCAGGGGGAGCCCGGCTGTGGGAGGGGGCTGAGCCCAGGTGTGGCTGAGAGTCTTGCTGCTAATCCTGCCCACCCATGCTGGGCACAGGGTGGGGGAGTGCCCTGGCCTGGGGGTGGGCCCAGTGCCTCCACCCTTCGGTCACTGCTCCTGTCCCTCACCCCCCATTCTCTGGTCATTCACTTATTCCTCCCCCGTCTGCCCACCCCCACACCCCAGCACACAGGGCCCCCGGAGGCTGGCCCCTCCCTATTCAGGGAACACACTTGACTCGGCATCTCCTTGTGGCCTTACTCGGCACTTCCCTGATGGTTGCTGCTGATGTGCCTTTTTTTCATTTGCCTCACGGCTGTCACCGTGTCCTTGGATTTATTTTGTCTCTGGATGAGGCTCCAGCTTCGTCCTTTTGCATGAGTCTGTCCAGTTTTCCTAACTTCGTGCGGAAGAAATGTGATCTTTCTTTTGCCGTGGCCGTTGTGATGGGAAGACCACACCTGGAGATGCTCAGGGACTCAGGCTAGCTTGGGGTTGCTTCCACCAGTGCCCCGGGACCATGCGATGCTGGGATGAGTGGGACAGGCGGGGAATGGGGGTGCTCCTGAGTGGCCCCATTTCCTTTCATTTCAATGAACCTTCAGGCCCATACCAGGCAGGGGGTGGGGTGCATTGCCCACATGGCCCCCTTGAAGCCGCATGTGCACTGGGGCCCCACTTTGTGTGGCTAGGGGGGCCTCCACTTGGGGACGGTCTGGTGCGGAGGGCTGAGCTCTGGGGAGCAGTTTCTTTGCCATGGTGGAGGAGGGTGTGGAGAAGGGGGGACGGGATCCCAAGAGGGGACAGGCCGAGAGGCCAGGGGTGCTTGAGGGGAGGAAAGCCCCTCGGGACAGTCCTGGGGTGAGCATATGCCTGGGCACCCCATGAATCATGCCCATACCTGGAGGCAGCTCTGAGTGGGCTCCCTGCCCCCCCCTTTTCACCCCACCCCCAGGTTCTCAGGGCTGCTGCATGGAAGTTCCAAGACCCCGACACCGGCAGCTTCGGCGGGTAACTGGGGGTGATGGGGTCCCTGATCCTGAGGGGAAGGAAGGAACACCAGCTGGGGCCTGGAGGGTGGGGAGACCTCGAGTCCAGCCGGGGGGCTCCAGGGACCAGTGCCTCCCCTACTCCGCAGAGACCCTGCCTGCTGACCCTGCACAGAACGAGGTGGTCTATGCTTCCCTGTCAGGGCTGGAGACGCCCGTGCGGGGTTACCGAGCCCTGTATGACTATAAGGCCCAGGTGAGCCAGTGGCACAGGTGGGGTGGGGCAGGGAATCACGGGGCCCACACCCACCTGGGCCTGTCGAGGCTCCCAGGCTGCCCGAGTGGGGGCATGGACCATCCTCAGGGTTCAGGAAGCCACTGGACAGCTGTGCAGTGGCCCCGGGGGTCCAGTCAGCTACCTCCTTTGAGACAAGCCCCAGATCCACTCAGATGGAGGCCACCCCCGCCGTGTCAGGCCCTGAAGTGTTGGGGGCGTGTGTGGAGATGGGTGGGGATCACATGCTCAGTGTCCTGCTGTGCTGGCTGGGCTGGAATCCCCCCACCCCGGGTGTGGCAGGTCTTTGATGAGACTGGGGCACAGGACAGTGTCCGTGGGGCACCCCACAGCTGGCCCCTGGAGATTCCCCAGAGGCAGGCTGGGGTGGAGGTGGGGGTTCTCCCACTGGAGCGGTCTCAGCATTCCCCCCAGTCCCACACCTTGGTTCTCGTGTCAGAATGCCGAAGAGCTGGACATCTCCGCGGGGGACATCCTGGAGGTCGTGCTGGAGGGGGAGGACGGCTGGTGGACGGTGGAACGGAACGGGCAGCGAGGTTTTGTCCCTGGCTCTTACTTGGAGAAGCTCTGAGGAGGGACAGCTGCTCCACCTGGACCTGCCGTGCATGGAGGGGGGCAGCAGGGGCCCCCTTCTGCCCAGCCTGGTCGGGGGCCCCCCAGTCGAGTCCTCTCCCAGCCCGTGGGTGCTGGCTGCTGGCCCCTGCTCTGTGTCGGGAATAAAGGCTGTGCTGTTCCCCGGCTCTGCAGCCTTCCTCTGCTCGCGGCTCTGAGCCAGAGAAGCTAGGGTGAGGCCCCACGGGGACCCCCGTCTGGGGATGCAGGAGGAGGTCCCCGAGGGCGGGGAGATGGCAGGACAGGAGGCCACCCCCAGGGTCCTTCAGGCTTCTTGTTGAACCCCAATCCAGCAGGGAGCAGCTATGCTGGCCGAAGCCCCCTAGGGCAGCCTCCCCTTGGCCCTGGACCTTCCCCCCCCACCCAGGGAGCCCCAGCACCACCAGCCCCACAGGCCAGCACCCAGCCACTGTCCCCACGTGGGGCCAGACTGACAGATGGGGGCACCTTGAGAAAGATCCCCGGAGATGTCCATCTAGGACTCGCTGGTACAAGACAAAGAAGCCCGCTCCCCTCGGGAGCACCTGACCTGGCCTTGGGAACAAGTGACCTCACATGTAGAGATGCCGCTGGACACAGTGCAGTGAGTAGGGCCTCAGGCAGCCCCAAGATAAGCTCAGAAGCCAGGGGGACTGCTCCAGGAGAGATGGGGGGTGGGGCGGGAGGTCCTTTTCTGCCTGCCTGCTGCGGGTTACCCACAATGGGGGCCAGAGAAGAGCCAGGCAGTGTGGTGGGATGGAGTGGACACCCTGGGATTGAGAACTAGAGGGAATGGCAGGAAATGAATCTGACTTCTGCAGGAAGTTCCCCACCCCACCCCCCTCCCTGCTCCTGGCCACCCCAGTGGACTTCAACATCGCCAGTAACTGGGAGTTCACGACCCCTTGGACGTCCACTATAGGCCTGAATGGCTCTGGACCGGGCTCTGGCTGCACCCCCCTGCCCCTCCCCGTCCATGTCTGGGCCAATGTCAGAGGCCACGGGCTAAGTGGGGGTTGGGGGATGAGGGCTGGGAAAGGCTAACCTGTGCGCACCTTCAGCATCTGGATGAGAAAGCACCCGGCCTCCTGCCACATCTGCTTTGGCAGGGGCACCTTGCAGGACAGGGAAAGGCGGACTGTACCTCCCAAACGTCACTGAGGCCAAAGCCAGGCCGTGGACCCTTCTCCCTCACGCTCCTCCTGAAGTGGGGGCCAAGCGAGCCCCGCTCTGGGTGTCGTCCCCAGGGTGTCCAACAGAGGGCGTGTGGCAGCCAAGTTGGGGAATAATTTAGGGAGGCTCCAACCCTTTCAGACTGATGGCCCAGGCCTGATCTGGCCCCAGGGGATTTGCAAACTGATTTGCTCGAGCGGGCCCAGTAATGTCTCTATTTTTTTTTTTTTTGAGACTTGTTACTGTATTTGGCATATTGAATACGTCACGGGTCGCTTGCCAGGCTTTGCCGTGCTTGCTGGGCTCTCCAAGAGGGGCGGAGGAATCAAACCCAGCTCTGCCGGACTGGTACATGCAGGAATTAAAATGTGACCAGTGATGGGAGAGCCCAAAGAAAGAGTCGGGAAGAATGTGGCTACACTGCGTCCAAGGCTGGCCTGGTGGCCCCCAGTAACTCAATTGGGGTCTTTTGCTGACAGATTAAGAGGGAGCTGAAGTCAAGGGCTGCCTCACAGAGCCTGCCAGAAAGGGGCACAGAGATGCAGTGACCCTCTGGTCCAGGGTCAGCAGGGAGACCAGGCACAGGACATCTAGGACGTGGAGCTGGGCCTGTGAGGGGTCAGAATCGCAGGGCTCGGTGACTGGGGAGTGACCTCTGGGCACAGGCAGGAACTGCCCATGGGGATAGGGAGGGGAACGGTCGAGACACAGGCTTGAGCGAGGGCCCAGGAGAGGCAGCACAGTCACAGAGCCAAGCCGCTGAAGTCAGGCTGAGCGTGCAGTCAAAAGGAAAGAAGAGGGGCTGGAGAGATAGCACAGCGGGTAGGGCGTTTGCCTTGCCTGGGAATCAACCCGGGTTTGACTCCCAGCATCCCATATGGTCCCTTGAGCACCGCCAGGAGTATCTCCTGAGTGCAGAGCCAGGAGTAACCCCTGTGCATCGCCGGGTGTGACCCAAAAAAGCAAAAACAAAAAATAAATAATAAATTAAAAAAAAAGTCTAAGAAGAGAAAAGTTAGGTCCCAGAGCTTTATTTATTGCTTGGAAAGACCCTGTCATCGTGATTGAGCATTCCATTTTGCCTGCAAAGGCTTTTTTTCCAAACACCTTTGGCCCAGGTATTTATCACGGTTTGACAGGTGCTACAGTGCCCATGCCTCGGAGGGTGATGGGCAACAAATGTGCAACGCCCTGACCTGAGTTCCAGCATTCTGATACCCGGAGAACAGAAAGGGACAATTCTGAGTCACGATTTGGAAGGCGTTGGGAGGTGGAGGCAGGGAACTTCACCTGTGAATCTGATTCATGGCAGTTTCTTCGGCTCTCGGCAGGGCAGAGAAACAGTTTCCTGCATGACTGGTCCTCCTGGGGCAAGGGGACAACATGGTACCCGATAGAGAGGGAGTGTGTGAAACTGGGCGTTTAAAGGAGCGTGACCAAATGGCTTGGTGGAGAAGCTACAGCCTCAAAGTCAGACAGAGCAGGGGGATTCTTGGGCTTCCCGGGGCGTCCTCTTAGTCACCACACCCCTGAACCCCAGTCCCCTTCTTAGTGAGACGGGCGGACACTGACAGCCCCGCGGAATGTGGGGGATGTCTGGGTCACTAGAAACAGACTTGGCAGTTTGTGCTAGGATAGCAGCCGGGGCCCGTGGCCCAGCCTCATTCCAAGGCATATCAGCGAGGCCTGCCCTGGGTGATGAGGGGTCAAGTGAGGCCAATCCCGCACCAGGGCCAACGGTTGATGCGTCCCTGGGGTCCAACCACAAATCCCTCCGCCTGCCGCCCACTCTTGTTCTCCAAGCCCAACCCAGCATTCTGGCCTCTTCCTGCAGGGGAAGCAGAAAGGCCCGGAAGGTCACACAGAGAACCTGAGCCCTACCAGTCCCGCATCTTCAGGGGGCCTTCTGCCCCACTGGGGACCGTGCAGGGACGAATCAGGGCTCCTGCATGCACACTACGAATGTCTCTCTAGCTGAGATGTTTCCCTTACAGGCCGATGTCTTCAATCAGACTGAGCTCAGCACATCTCCACCAGTGGCCCAGGGGTGCAGAAAGGGGGCCTCTCGCTCCATTTCCCTCCTCTCTGTAGAGCCGACACTAGACCAACACTCCTCTAGTCTGGCTGATCAATGGAAATGCCTAGGATTGGGGGATTTTTTTTTTTTGGTGCCACACCCTGCAGTGTTGTAGTTGTAGTGTTGAATCAAATCAGGGTTACAAGAAAGGCAAGCGCCTTAACACCTGTCGTATTTCTCCAGCCCAAATTTTTGAGTTGTTTTGTTTTTGGGTCACACTGGACAGTGCTCATGGGCTACTCCAAGTTCAGTGCTCAGGGGACCATGCAGTGCCAGGGGTCAAAACAGGGGCCCCTGCATGAAAACATGCACACTAGCATGGTGTCTCTACCGCAGAGTTTTATTTTTATTATTTTATTTTCTGAGCCACACCTGGTGATGTGGCTCAGAAAATAACTCCTGACTCTGCACTCAGGGATCACTCCTGGCAGTGTGTGGGAGATCATATCGGGTGTTGGGGGTTGAATCCGGATCCACCATGTGCAAGGTAAGCACCCTACCAGCTGGCCCCCCAGAGAAATTTTCTTTTTTTGCTTTTTGGGTCACACCTGGTGATGCACAGGGGTTCCTCCTGGCTCTGCACTCAGGAGTTACTCCTGGCGGTGCTCAGGGGACCATATGGGATGCTGGGAATCGAACCCGGGTCTGCTGCATGCAATGCAAACGCTCTACCCGCTGTGCTATCTCTCCAGCCCGAGAAATTTTCTTTTAAGGCCGACATCTTGGTCTATCATAGACCGAAGGAAACAAATCTCTGAAAGCTGAGCATAAAAACTGCAGACATTCTCCTGGTGGTTCAAATCTAAGAACCTTCCAGGCTAATGGGATCTTTAGAAAGACCGAGGGGAATCCTTGTGGCAACAGAACGATTCACTTCAGACACTGCATGCCCACCAGTGTCAGGAGAGGCTGGGAGCAGCAACTCTTTTCCAACTCTCGCTGTGATTTCACATTCACAGCCCGGTTCACGAGAGCAAGCATGCAGGAGTCTGTTTCCCATGCACTCAGCACTGTCTGACGGATGTTGAGTGGAGCGGCTCAGGGGGCTTCCACGAGGCCCCTGTGTGACACCCAAGACCCAGAGACCCTGAAAGCCATAGAACATGATGCTGCGTGAAGAAGGCAAGGATGTTGTGACAGGGCAGAGGAACCAGGAGGGGTAAAGGATCAGGGAAGAATGTCCCAGTCACAACAGCTGCACACACAACAATTCACAGAAAAGTTTACTCAGCAGACAACTCATTCAAGACTCAGAAGGAAGAAAACCAACTAGACTGAGGGACCGACAGAAAGGGACAATCCAGGCGATGTTAAAGGCTGAGCATCACTGTATCACTGTCATGCCATTGTTCATCGATTTACTCGAGCAGGCGCCAGTAACGTCCCGGCCCTGAGATTTTAGCAGCCTCTCCTTACTTGTCTTTTCCAATGACTGTATATTGGAAGCTCTTTCAGGGTCAGGGGAATGAGACCTGTTATTGTTATTATTTTTGGCATTTTGAATACGCCACGGATAGCTTGCCAGGCTCTGCCGAGGGGGCGGGATACTCTCGGTAGCTTACTGGGCTCTCCGAGAGGCATATATATGCGTACACAACACACACACACACACACACACACACACACACACATGCCTGAGTACCTTTAGAAACATCTTAGACAGCGAACACATGAAGAAGTGTTTGTCACTTATTATCAGGGAGATGCATTTCAAAACAACAAGGGGGTATCACCCAACTCCAGTGAGAAGGGCATAAATCAGAAGACTGGGAGCCATGAATGCACTGCGCTGCCTGCCAGCGGACAGGGCGGAGGGAGAGGAAAGAAGCCTCACAGATCGTCTCCTGCCCGCAGGTGGAGTTGCCCAAAGCATGCTCAGCATGTTTCACTGACATTTCACCTCTTGGCACTCTGCTGGGTGCACCGTGGATTGGCAGGGTATTTTGTTTGTCCTCGCGGTCTTTCATTTCCACCTTTCCTCTAGTCCTGCTTTCTCAGTGACCTCCTGGACACCCCTGCACACCCCACACTCCCATGTGCCCTCTCCCTCTGGGCCTCTCCTCCAGGAAGCTGTCCCTGACCTCACATCTCTGCGGTCCCACTGTGACATGGATGGACATCATCTGTTTCCATTAATCTTTCTGATAACAGGACCCCACATTCTTCAGACAAGGATAGCATCATCACCATGTCTCAAGTGCTGTGCCCATCCAGAAGATGCTTTTTTTTTTTTTTGCTTTCTGGGTTACACCCGGCGATGCACAGCGGGTTACTCCTGGTTCTGCACTCAGAAATTACTCCTGGCAATGCACTCAGGGGATCATATGGGATGCTGGGAATTGAACCCAGGTCAGCTACATGCAAGGCAATCGCCCTACCCGCTGTGCTATTGCTCCAGCCCTCTAGAAGATGCACTTTTATAGGATACGAGGGGCGGAAAAACATCTGTGTCTTTCTGACATGGAAAAACCTTTAGAATCTGGCAATAAACTGATATAAACTGGGGATGGCAGCGACATTTTAAACATTGTGCCTGGGGGGAGCTGGAGTGATAGCACAGCACGTAGGGCATTTGTCTTGCACGCGGCCGACCCGGGTTCGATTCCCAGCATTCCATATGGTCCCCCAAGCACGGCCAGGAGTAATTCCTGAGTGCATGAACCAGGAGTAACCCCTGTGCATCGCTGGGTGTGACCCAAAAAAAGCAAAAAAAAAAAAAAAAAACCCATTGTGCCTGGGGAAGGAGGATGCTGCCTGGTCAGCCTCCTGTGTGTACCCTGCCCACCGATCAGCTCATGGAAATGTCTGGAAGCCTGCAGCTCTGTGCTGAGAAGCAGCAACTGCAGGCCTTCAGCAGTGGTGGTGGAGGTGGGGGTGGCCCCGAGGGAGCAGGCAGCATGGGGTTTGTGCTCAGCCGGGGCTGTTGGCCTACACAGAGCCTTCTGCCCCACTCCCCCCAACCTGGTCTGGCAGCTGCACACGAGTTTCCCAAACTTTTGTACGACAGCCTCCCTGATGCTGGCCAACTGCCTGCAGGTACATCATTAGAAGGGAGACAGTAACTTTGGGGCAGGGGGGCGGTGAGGACAGGAAGGCTACTTTCCAACCACCAGTTCACCTGCCCTCGAACAAAGCGATCAGCCCGACTTGTGCACAGATTGTGCCACCTCTTCTTTGACTTATCTTTTCACACAAATGGATGACTGAACTGGTGGTAAAGAGCTGGGATCTTTGTATATCAAAAGCATAAAGACTAACACATAAACTAAACTATGAAAAACATAAAGACTAAGTTGGAACCATATTACCTAAACTATGATTACAAAATAATGTGTGCAAAGAACTAAAAATTGATGAACTCCCAAGGAAATACATCACGTAAGGGACAGAAAGGAACTGAAAAATCTAAAAAAGTCCTCAAATCTCTGAGAAGTCTGTACACCCATAAAACAAAGCTCATTAGAAATTACGGGGACCGCTCCTCCCAACATTAGGGAATTCCTATGGGTACAGGGTGCCCTAAAGGGGAAATAAGGTTGGGGAGGAAGGTTACTAATAACCTTAGGAAAGTTAAACAGTACAAGATTGACCCAAACAGGAGGAAATCTTCCATATTAAAATTATTATTCCAACTTAATGGAGCTGAAGCAAAGGATGGACTGCATCGAAGCCACAAGAAATAAACAGGGGGCTGAGGAGACAGTACAGGAAGGAAGCTTGTCTTGCATGCGGCTGACCTGGGTTTGATCCCTGGGACCCCACAAAGTCCCTCAAGCTGTGCCAGGAGTAATCCCTCAGTGCAGAGCCAACCCCCAACCCCCCAACCCCAGAAAGATTAAAAAAAAAACCCAACCAACTCAACACTAAATTTTAGCTGCTTTATAATTGGTGAGACCCCAAGTAACTAAAAACTAAAAATTACAATGTTGAGGGTTGATACAGTTTATTGAATTAGATTTTTCTATTTACAGCTGATCACACCTACATACTAAATGTAGTATTTTGCTAGCCTACATGGGTACATTATTCCTAACAAGTTTAGACTTATGATGAATGGGCTCAATCATACAAAAACATGCACGCACACATTCACACTAATTGCTTTAAAACAGTAGTGCATACATTATACTCCTCCTATAAAGCCAGCTTTGATTAAAAACCACTAGTGTCAGAGATCAGTCTGATTTTGAAGATGAACCAAAACACACACTGTATGATTCTAGAAGCTATTTTAGCCATTTTGTACAGTTGCTATCTTATTGGACTATAGTATATATATATGTATATATATATATTTTTTGAAAGGACACTGATGAGGGGCATCATCTGGTATGAACTTTAACCAGACAACTGGCTTCCTCCCCCTCTCCCCAAAACCTCTGGCCAGGAGTTCTCCACCATGAAAGACTGAAAGGACCCAGTGACACATCAGCAGCCGTCCCGTTACTGCTTGGAGGCATCAGAAGCAGGCCCCAACTCCTCTAACATCACAACACTCCACGACCTGCAATGGTTCTGAATCAGAACAGTTTCCTGTTCCTGAAAAAATCGGGGATAGGGAGAGTCTGCTAGAACAGGGGAAAAGAAAGTCTTAGGTGGGTGGGAAGAAGGTGGGCACATGAAGAGCCAAGCCGCTCTGTCCAACACCTGTGTGTGTGTGTGCTTCAACTAAATGAACTCAGGAGGCCAACAGCAGTGGACCTGCTCAATTCGCCTTCCGAACAGGAACGAGGCTTAAAAGGCCTTTTCTACTACGCGTAGGTTCCGCCGGTGATGAGGAGCTCGTAGGCAGGATCGCCACTCCTTCTGCACAACACGATGCATGCGCACAGCATGCCCAGCAGCTGTGGGGAAGGAACAATGGACAGAGACTGAAGATCTTAAAACCAGGAGGCATTTCCTTGTTTGCAATGAAAAGGCATCAAAGTGCAACAAGGCAGAGCATTAAAAAAAAAAAGAGAGAGAGAGAGAAAACAAATCCAATTAACAGCAGTAACAGAAACAATTTCTAATGAATAATTATCTTTTTAGGGATTGTCTAAGCACTAACTTTTAGCTTTCCTGTCTCACACTTAGGAGTTGCTTGTGAAGCCAGCAGAAAATCAAGGCTCTCCTACTGCCATCTAACTCTCCATCTAGAGCACTGATGGACAAAGAGCCTTTTCCAATGACGGAAACTGCACCTAGGCTTTCAAAGATGGCAGCCGTCACTCATGTGTGGCTGCCAAACACCTGGGCAATGCAGTCAGGCAACTAAGGAACCGCACTGTTTCATTACAGTTACTTTCAACTTAGACATGGGTGGCTTCTGATCAGCAATTAGGCAGTAAAGATGTAGGGAGAAAAAGAGTTGAGCCATGTTTTTTTGAGAATTATTCAACGGTCGTCTCTTCAGGCATCTGGATTCAGGGGAGGTTCCTTTAGAACAATCCACAAAACCAATACACAAAAAGCCCAAAAGCCCCATGGTAGAAAACCAATCCTAATGTCAAAAAACATAGCCTGCAGGCTTCTGATTCTTTCTCATTTACTTTCTATTTCTGAAACCCAAGTCTGGCTCTCTGGTATTACATATATATTACTTTTTAAAGGTCATTCTTCCTTCATTTTATTTTAATAAACCCTAATCCTTCAGTGGTAGAATACTAGAATAACAACAAAGGTATTATGTTATTTTGGATAAGCAAGAGAATTAAGCTGATTAAAAAGAAAATGATTCTAGAATTTTCTTATCTAGTTTTTCACAAATATAAACAGTAACCAAAGAACTAAAAAAGAGTAAGTTAATTTGCCATTTTAACTTTTCGTTGACAGTGAAAGGTCTCAAGTTATTTGATTTCAAAAGGCAGGCTCTCTGTACAAATAGGGGTCAATCTCATTTCAACAAAATGCACCTTATCCACAAACAGACTCTCAAAGTTCAACTGGAAGATTAATCACTAATGAGACACACACAGAGAGAATAAGGATGTCCTCAATCTGAATTCTCCATGGTATAAAGCCGCACACTCCAATTTCTGCCCTCAATTAGCCTATATTCTACCCACTCAAGATAAAGACTTGCTGCTTGTCAGTTTCATTATATTAATCTTTGCTGAGTGCTTACTAAAAGTACCACAAAGACATCCTAAAAGTAGATACTGTTTAAAGTTTACTAAATACTTTAAGTCAATTCTAGACATGTTTAGTACCTAATTCCTAAAGAAATACATTTCCATTTCCTGTACATCAAAACATTCTTAGAATGGCTATAAAATCAAATACAATTATGTTTTCAGGCAATGTTAAATTGAGTAATAAAAATGTTAAGCTAAGAAATTACTGACTTGCTGGGGGAAAAAAGCTCTCCTTTTATCCCCACCTCCTCATATTCCTCTCAATTGGTTTACTTCTATTTGACAAGTCAGCATTCTCAACATTGGGTCTGAAATAAGTATCATTTCTTTCCTCACTTTTATTTCAATTAAGTCAGCTCGTACTGATTTAAAAACAATTATGTAAACTTAATAAAACCCTTCTTACACTTAGCAATAAAATCTGTTTAAGAATTACAGTCTATACAAGAACTTCTTATAGTTCAAATCTCATCATTAAGACCTATTTCCAAAGCTTTATTACAGTAAAATTTCATTAATATTGAAATTCCCAAACAATAGACTTGGATATATTACACAAGCATTTCAGTTCCATGATTATTTTTTGTGGCAACATTTACCCTGCAATATTCAGTGCACTTAGTCCAAATATAATACCTAGTAACCGCAAAATGATTTCTAGATACAAGGCAAGTGGGAATTAAAACAAAATGGCAGCAATTAAAATGTTCTGGGGCCAGAGAAATAATGTAGGGTGTTTGCTTGCATGCAGCTGAATCAGGTTGCTCCCCGGAACCACATATGGTCCCCCAAGCACTACCAGGAATATTTCCTGAGGAGAGAGACAGGAGTATGCCAAGGGCACCACTGGGTATGGATATAAAATCAAAACCAAACCAACAAAACAAAATTAAAATGTTCTATGATATACCGTATAGATGGCATTGTGGGAAAATACTGTTATACAATATTAGAAAAGCATGATGCTAACACCCTTTTTTTGAGAAAAAATTTAAAATACCTATCAAAAACACCCTTATCCCTCAATTTTATGACTATAATTTTTGTTGTACACTTTACTAAAACACACGTCAGAAAATATTTATTACTTGAGTTTCTGTAATAAAAGGACTAACAGTACCCATTAATGTAGATTAGATCAATCATGAAGTATGCCCTTAAAACGGAATGCTTTAGTAAGGTAATAATTTGATTTTAAGAAGCAAGGGACAAAAATTTATGGACTGGGTGGGTCTATTTATAAAACATTTAAAAGGACACCTTATAAATGGATTATCAATTGCCAGGGTATGGGGGGAGGAGGCACAAGAAGAAAGGAGTAAGCTATAAAAATGTACCAGGTGACATCTTGTGGTAAGCATCTTACAGTAACCTACACAGGTCATCACTGTAGAAAACTGAAAACATGTGCACAGAAACGAGAAATATGAATAAAACTGTTGGATTACAATCAATGCCAACAGTCTGGCTGTGACATAGAGACTGTGAAAAATGTTACCACTTAAGAAACGGGGCGGGGGCTGGAGCGATAGCACAGCGGGGAGGGCGTTTGCCCTGCACTCGGCCAACCCAGGTTCGATTCCCAGCACCCCATAGGGTCCCCCGTGCACTGCCAGGAGTCATTCCTGAGTGTAGAGCCAGGAGTAACCCCTGTGCATCGCCGGGTGTGACCAAAAAGAAAAAAAACAAAAAAAAGAACTCGGCAATACTTTTCTTAAAATTGTATGTGCGGGGTGGAGGGTGCTGGAGAGAGTTCAGGAGGCAAGGCACTTGCCGTGCGTGCACGACCACTGCCATCACCTTAGTTTGAGTCCGACATCACATAAGTTCCCCTGAGTACTGCTAGAAGTCACACGTGATCACAGAACCAGGAACAGTCCTTGAGTACTGCTAGATGTGGCCCAAACAAAAACGAGAACTGTAATGAGCACAATTCTTAAAAAGAGCAAGGTACAAAACTGCTATGGTATCAGCTTTCATGTGCATAAAAGATAGGTGCTTGTAATAACACAGATTACTCCTGGAATTTGTGATACAGAGAAAACTGGCAACAGAGTTGCCTATCCTGGGAGTCCTTGAGAAATGGGGTTAGGACTGAGAGGGAGGTTTGCACTTTCACCAAGTCTTTTTTTAAAAAAAATTATCAAATGGCATTCTCAATCTTTTAAAAAACTTTCAAGCAGTTAACAACATTAATCTTATCCAATTCAAAAAAACACAAAACTTAGCTACCCAAGACAAATATAAATTTTAAAGTAAAAAAAAAAATTTTAAGAAGACTGTTAAAATCAAGACACTGAATTTGAATCCCTCTTTAAAGGCTCAATCTGAATTGTTATTTCAATTCATTTTGCTTTTGTTTGGTTTGTGAACACACATCCAGCTGTGTGTTCAGGGCTTACTCTTGGCTGTGTGTTCAGGAATCACTTCTGGTGGGGCTAGGGAGGCCACATTCAGTGCCAAGGACTGAATCAGGCGGAGTCAGCTCAGTGTAAGGCAAGAGCCTTAATCCCTGTACTATCTCTCCAGCCATTTAACAAATAAATGAGGGGAAAAAAAAGCATCCCACGAACTGCCTTGGCAAATTGTTCTCCGAAAAAGTTTGCCTTACCACTCATTTTGAGGACACGTCAACTTTGTGAGACTCAAAAGATAATTTTCACTTTTCTTATCCAACTTTGCCAAGAACTTTACAAATCAAAATGCAAAATTTGTCTACTGGATGGCCAGATTCTTTGAATGTAAAATTTATTACTGATCATTAGTTGGAGGCTGACTACTTCTGATGATGTGAAGTATTTTTCTGATTAGCTAAAATGATGAAAGGGATTCAATTTTTTAAAATGTCTTCTATACTCAAGAAGTATTAGGGAAAAAAAAACTAACTCCAAGACTTTTAGGACTTTTTCTTTCTTGATCCTTTTTGGCTGACCCTGGCTCTGCACTCCTGATCTGGATCTGCCCCAGGATCATTCCTGGTGAGGCTTGTGGAACCATACATAGTTCAAGAGATTGAATGCAGGTTGCTGTGTGCAAGAAAAGTGCCCTACCTGCAATACTATCTCTCTAGCCCCAAGCGGGATATTTTTTTAGTTCCCATGGAAAAATACTTCAGGAAGAATTACCTGGCTAGTTGATAATTTTAATTACTGGACGGGCATGATTTTCATCAGTCATCTATTACATGTTGCATAGTTCATCATAATTACACAACAAACTGCTTGAAAGCCTTTCTGCTACATAGTAGTGTGTTCTGTCTTAGTACCATTATACAGATCAGGATTTCACTTGGGAAGAGATCTCCCTCATGTTTCATTATTTTAAATGAATGTGTTTGCACAGATTATCAATATATGAAATACATCCTTGCTGGTCAACATATTACTGCTTTGCTCAGCCACAGAGTAAATGCTTAGAAGGGCAAAGACCATGGCAAATAAAAAGCTAGGCTTTTTAATGATTCGTCTCAGGGCTGTTTGAATACCAGCAAAGTAAACAACCATCCCTGTGCCATTTTAAAAGGCACGTCTCATTAAATATACTAGCTGTTGTTCAAATATACAGAACAATCAAGCAATTTACATTTAAACTGGCAATTACTTCAGTTATATCTAACAATTACAAGATACTATACTTTCCTAAAGTAAGTTCTCTAGGCCTAACGTGTATTTCAATAACAACTACCAAAACACCGACTAGATACGCTGCAATGGATTTTTAATTAAATGGTTCCCAGTGGTAACACTCCTTTAAGACATTCCTGCCAGAAATTCTTTTTTTGTTTGTTTCTGGGGCATACCCAGTGGTATTGAGCTTATTCCTGGTTTTGCTTGGGAATTACTCTTGGCAGGGATTAGGGAATCATATGTCGCGCCAGGGATTGAACAAGGGTTGTACAAGATAAGTGCCCTACTCACTGTACTATCTCTCCTATCTCTCTGGCCTCCTCAACAGAAAATTTTAAGATAGACTGCATATACCTGAGAAACTAGGAATGGGAGAGGGGAAGAAAAGGAGGAGGGGATATAAACAAAGTAGTCGCAAGTGGGGGAGAGGGAAAAGAGGAGGGAGAGAGACAGTGTTGGGAGGACTGGGAATAAAGTGAGAGATAATTAAGCAATTACCAGCTACTTTGCACATCCTGTTATTGAGGGGCTGGGGGTGGAGAGAGTGTTCTCACTGCTAAAAGTCAGGAAAACAAATGTCTCCAGCTACCAACAATGGTGTGGTATATTTTTAGGCACTCTGACGACTACCAGTCTAAAAGTAATGAACTACACAGATACAAATAAGAGGTTAGGACCTCAGTTTTCATTTGAAGGTCTTTTCTGTAAAGCAAAGAAATTTCTCCTATTAGAATAAACATTTTACTAGTATAGTACCAGTTCTCCATTTATGAACATATGAAATCCTTCAAAATAGAAAAAAAATAAGAAATCAAAGCATAAGAAAGAAATCAAAACTTTCCATTTCCAAATTGGAAAATAGTAGAACAGTTTTTAAAAATCTGGTAAAGCTCTACTAAAAGGACTCCCAAGAATATACTGCAGTTTCTATTTTGTTTGTTTTGGGGCCACATCCAGTAGTGCTCAGAGATCACTCCCTGGCAGGGCTTGGGGAACCATATGAGGTTCTAGGGATCAAATCCGGGTTGGCCCCATGCAAGGCAAGTGACCTACCCATTATGACTCCACCCTTACTGTAGTCTGTATTCTAAACATGTGAAAATAAAATCTGAAAAAAAAAGAGAAAAAAATATAGAAGAGTGTCCCTTATATACACAGTGTCCCTATTTCTTACACATTTTCTGCGTTTAGACTCAGGTAAGTGAAAATGTTGGAAATGGGTGATTTGGTACTTCAATCACTTCCTGGCTACCTATATCACTCTTAGGGATTAAAAGCTACTTGAGACTGACCACAGAGAGCAGCACACACTGATAACACTCCTTTTCTGTGCTCACCTGAATAGCTGCGAATGCCAGCGCCGCCCAGATAACGAGCATCATGATTTCTTGAAGTTTCTTCACGACGAGTGCTTCACATCCCTGAAACACCAGAGTCAACCTCATTTGAGGACTTTTTAAGTGAAAGCGTCAAGGTCATATGCAGCAGTATTTATTGGTGCTAATGAAAATGACAGAAACTGAAGGAGAAAAAAATGCATTTCAAAATAATTTATAGGGGGCTGGAGTGATAACACAGCGGGTTGGGCATTTGCCTTGCACGCGGCCGACCCGGGTTTGATTCCCAGCATCCCATATGGTCCCCTGAGCACCGCCAGGAGTGATTCCTGAGTGCAAAGCCAGGAGTAATCCCTGTGCATCACCGGGTGTGACCCAAAAAGTCAATAAATAAATAAATAAATAAAACAAAAATAATTTGTAGTAGGCACAGAGGAAAAGACCACAGTGGGCTACTTGGGCAGTACCTACCTTGCTACTGTATGGGCCCAAGTTCAAATTCGGGTATCCCACATGCACCGAGTGTGACCTGCAGCTCAACTATTTGAGCCTGGCAGCTACACTACCTGTGACCCAAGTATAACATGCAATTTCGGGCAGCACCACAGCAGGTGTATGTAGGTACCACAAGAAAAGGTATAACCTGTAGCAAGCACAGCAACTGAAAAATTATGTGCAAGCACCATAAGAAAGTGCAGTTCCCTGGCAAGTACAGGTAAAGCACAATAACTTAGGAAGCACAAACCCCAGTGAACACAACAGCCAGTGTGCAAATGCCTGACAAGTACAATTAAACATGCCAGTTAGCACAGCATAGCGCATGTGCAACTGATATCATTACAACTAAGATGTAAGGAAAAGACAATGGGGAAGGGGCAGGAGAAAGAAGGGAGGGGAGGGGAAAGGAAAAGGAAGGGAGGGGAAGGGGAGGGAAAAGATGAAGAAGGGAAGGAAAGGAAGGGGAGTGAAGGGGAGGGAAAAGAAGGGGAGGGAGAGGGAGGGAAAGGAAGGGAAGTGAAGAGGAGAGAAGGAAAGGGGGAGATAGGGATGGAATTTTCTAAAAAATTAAAGCTTACAGTAAAATACCATTAAAGTCAAGCGAAAGGAGATAGAAGGTGGTTTTAGGTAGAAGTGATTCATACTGATGAAAGGTTACCAGAACAGACTCAAGGTGAGGCCAACAGATTTAACTTACCTCTGCGTAGAGATCAGAGGGGTGTGCCAGGCTGCCATTGCAGCTGCTGGCAGTCTCTCTGCAACAGCTGAGAGGGACGCTCTGATTTTTGGTCTCTTTGAACCAGTCTGTATTTTCCCAGTCTGAATAGTTGTGAATTCCACAACAGTGCAGCTGGTAGAAAAGAGAACAGAAATATTATTCTAGCACATATACCTGTGCTAGAGTTCCAGACACTGCAGACCAGTGACGTTCTAGAGGACTTTCTGTAATCACAGAAAGCCTGCTTGTCCGTATGGTAGCAGTGAGCTACATAAAGTTACATGCAGTTAAAATGTGGTCAGTGTAATGAAGGGGTCAAAAAAAATGGGGGGCAAGGGAAGTCTACACCTGATGGTGCTCAGGCATTACTCCTGGCTCTGTACTCAGGAATCACTCTTGGTGGTATTTAGGAAACCATGTCAGTGTAACAATCAAGTTGGTATTGGCTCACAGACTATCTCTCTGGACCCATGACTGTGAATTTGTTTTCTGATTTTGGGAGCCACTCCTGGCTAGTTTTTTGCCATATGAAATACTACAAAGTTTATAAACTTTGTAATTATAATTAAGAAGCTTTCCTATTTTACATGTTAAATGTAGGGTTATGAATTCAGTATTATTTCCAATGACATATTTAAACTCTTTTTTTCCTAAGGTACAGTAGTAGAGCTGAGGAAATGGCTCACAGGGCTGCAGACTCTGAAGAACTGGGCACCATGTTGGAATTCCTGGTGGCCTAGTATACTGCTTGGCCACTCCACCCACAGAATCAGATGAAAATAATGGATGAAACAAGGTTGATGAAATGTTCAAGACTCTTGTTTGTTGGGTTGGGGCAGTGTTTTTGGCCATATCCAGTGGTATCTACGGGGGTGCCCTGACTCTATGCTCAGGATTGCTCTCAGCACTGCTCTGAGACTATGTAGTGCTGGGGCCTGAATCTGGGTCAGCTGTGTGCTAGGCCTTAACCCCTGGACTACCTCTCTGACCCCATGCTGACGATTTCTGAAGCACACTTAAGTTTTTAAAAATCTCTATTATTCTATATTTATAAATGCTTCATGTTCTCTACAATTATTCTGTTTTCAAGCTTTGCCTCATCTATTCTACCTCTGCCTTCTCAATGCACATGATGACCATGCAACACCTCTAAAGTGCATCTGGACCCCACCTCTCCTGTGACACACACCTCTGTTCCCTTATCACCTCTCCAGTTCACTTCAAAAATGTTTTTTTAAGTCAGGTGCTCTTTATCTGGTTTTGACTAGGTGATAGGGAAGAAATATTTTCAAGAAGGCAAAAATATTAGAAATATCATTAAATTGGCTATGGCTATAATGGAACATGGCTTGTTTACACAGTAACAGTAGAGTAAGTTTAATGTTGAGTTAATGGCCAGGCCCTCAAAACCAAATTTGCCTGAAGAATTTTTACCTGTCCTTCCACCGGCAAAAGCAATGAAAGCAAAAATAAACAAATGGGCTAAAAAATAAATAAACAAATGGGGCTACATCAAACTGAAACGTTTTTGTATACAGTAAAAGAAACTTGGGCTAAAAAAAAAAGACACATTTTACCACACATCCTACTCATATTCCAAGTGTACCACACCATATTTGATGGGGTTCAAAGTAGAAGGCAACCCATCTTAGAGGAAAATAATTTTTTTTTACAGATATATATATATAAAAGCACACAAGGCTCAACCTTTAACAACATGTTAGTGAACTCTTACACAAGGGCTTAATGGCCCCTGGGTGAAATACAACAATCTTCATAATCTTTCCTCTATCTAAGGATACTTTTCTGTAGCATTTTCAGTGGTTTTTCATAACAAATAATACAAAATATACTATTTCAGTTCTGCTTTGGGGCAGGGATTGAGTTCAGTATGGAAATATCCAAAATACAGTGGTGGGAAAATGTAATGATGGTGGGACTGGTGTTTGAATATTAAATGTAATCAAATATTGTGAACGACTCTGTCACTGTCACTGTCCTCCAGTTGTTCAATGATTTGCTCGAGCAGGCCCAGTAACGTCTCCATTTTGAGACTTCTTGTTACTGTGCTTGGCATATCTTATATGTCATGGGTAGCTTGCCAGGCTTTGCCGTGCGGGCGAGATACTCTCGGTAGCTTGCCGGGCTCTCCGAGAGGGGCAGAGGAATTGAACTCGGGTTGGCCCTGTCGGCCGCGTGCAAGGCAAACACCCTACCGCTGTGCTATCGCTCCAGCCCTATAAAATAGAAAAATTTAAAAAAGCACACTGTACTATGTAAGAGAAAATATCTATACACCATACATAAAGCTAAAGTCAAGATACATAAAATATGTGCCTATGTGCCAAACTCAACACCACCACAAAATAAACCCATCAAAAATGGTAAGAGGAAATAAACAAGACACTTCTCTAAAGAGGACAAATAGTCCTCTCACACCAGTGAAAATGGTATATATAAAAAAAAAATAGTCAGTGTTGGCAGGGATGTGGGGAAAAAGGAACCCTTATTCATTGTTGGTAGGAATGTCATCTGGTTTATCTGTCTCTATGGAAAACAGTATCGATTGCTCTTTTAAAAACCAAGACTAAAGCTTCCATATGACCCAGTGATTCTACTTGTTGGCATCTATCCCAAGACACAAAAATTAAATAAAAAAGATAAAAGGAGTTGAAGTGATAGTATAGTCGGTATGGCACTTGCTTTGTACCCAGCGGACCTGGGTTTAATCCCAAGCACTCCATATATCCCTTGAGCCCACTAGGTGTGATCCTGAGCACAGAGTCAGGAATAAACCTGGAGCACAGCTGGGAGCAGACTCTGACCTACCCACCAAAACAAACAAAGATATAAGCAAACCTATGTTCACTATAGAGCTAAATACAATAGCCAGGATATGGAAAACAACCTAAAAGTCCGCTGACAGATGAATAAAAAAAAAGTTGTAGCAAACATACACAGTGGAATACTATGCAACTATAAGAAAAGATAAAATCTTGCAGTTGGATAGAACTGGAGGGCATCATGCTAAGTGAAATAAACCAGGTGAAAAAGGAAAAATACCAGATTATTTCAGTCATCTGTGGTATAGGGAAACCAAAAAGTAAAATAGTAAGTACTGAATGGGGACAAACCGTTGGCCTTTGATTATAAAACTGAGATTACCCAGCAATGGGGGGAGGGAGTTGGGAGGTGGGAAAAAAAAAAGGTAGACTAGATGTGACTAGGAACAGTGGTGGAGGGTCTTAGGCTCTTTGGTGGTAGGAAAATGAAGTCACTTTGCACACACACAAAAAAAGTTAACAATGGTAACCACAATACCTAAACTACAATTATAAAACCAAAAAGAATTTACCTGTCTTTGTACATAATCAATAGCCCGGCTAGCAGCATCAGGGTTGGTTCCATTGTAGGTCTTATACACTTTCTGAATTCTGCGATCGACTTCATTTTCCACCTGAAACAAAAAAATTTATTATCCCAGAAAAACTAGTAAAAATAACAGTAAAGACCAACAAAAACTCTTAAATGGCATGTATTAAAAGTTGGCAGATAGCTCTATCAATTTATTGTAAGAAAAAAACTCTCTTTCTACTTCTACACAGATTCAGACATATAACATATAAGATTAAGAGTTTTCAAAGAGAAGACCATATGTAAATGACAGGATAAAATTCTATTCAATGAGATGGAGAGGTAGGACAGTTGGCAGGGTGCTTGCCTTGTAATCCCTGGTATCCCATCCTCTCTGAGGCCTGCCAAGAGTGTTTCCTCAGCACAGAGCCAAGCATAAGCCCTGAGCCCAGGTGTGTGTGGCCCTCCCCCCCAAAAAAAAACAAAAGAAAAAACTCTAGGAGGAAGCAGTAGGCCTTGAGATATATGTTCTAAATTACAAATGGACTGCATTTCTTTACAAATAAGTTTACTATGGGTTCTCAGAAGATCCACCTGTTTCTTCTCCCAGTAGAAAAAATAAAACTCAACCCTTCCAACTCCTGCACTTCCCATCCCCCCCCCAAAAAAAAACACACCAACTTTGGGACAATTAATATTATTTCCATTTTACTTATTCAATGTCTAGACTTAGCCACATATGAAAAAGCTGCAGTTCATTGTATGTGAACGAGGAGACAGGAAATACATTCTTCAAAACTTACTGCTGACATTTACTAAAGTGGGGGAAGCAAAGTAGTATTTAATAGTTTGCTCACATCAGAGTCTTCTTACCTTTCATAAATGATTAGACCTTTTGGTAATTAGTGATGTAATGAGACCATAAAAATGATAAAATGATAAATGACACAGTCATAATTCAATGCATTCTTCTTTTCTTTTTTGGCATGGGAGCCTGGTTCCTTATATATCAATGGTTTGACTGTAAAACTGACAGATCTTTTACTAATGATAATAGTTCTACTATGCCTTTAGTGTGGCTCTAGGGTTATCCTTGAATTGAAGCCGCATATACTGCAGGTGAAAACAAATGGAGGCAAACATAAAGAAGAAAGAAAAGGGGAGAGGAAATTACCAAGATGAAGAAGAAAATAGTCTTGGGTCTGAGTTAGCTGGACCTCTCATTATTTTTTTTTCCTCTCTCATTTCTATTATGGCAGGTTGGATCACATTCAGAATCTTTTTTTATGCCCTTGTTTCAGGCATTTTTTAAACAGAGCGACACCTCACAGAGATGGGGAAAATGAGGTAGAGTTTGGGGCCTCATGCCAATGTTCAGCCCAGCAGTATGGGTCTGATGGTTCAGGGCTGAGAAGGGTGGTATTGGAAGGCGGGGATGGGAAAGAGGGAATTTGTTTTTTATTTTTTAGCCACACCTGCTGGTGTTCACAGGCTACTCTGGGCATAGAGGTCCAAGGTGACCCCTGGTCGTGCTCAAAGAACCATGCAGTGGCAGGTATCAAACCCCTGGCCTCGGGCATGTGCTCCAATCCACTGAGGAATCTTTCAAAAAAGCTACAGGAGATGAAATCTTTACAGGAAATGTAATCCTTAATTTAGTTCTTCTAAAACATTAATCAGAATATAATCAATTACTGTGAACAACTTTATGAAAATGAAATTTAAAAATACATTTTTAATAGTAGTAGTTAAACTGAAGTAAAGCAAAAGAAAATATTTTCTCAGATAAAAAGAACTACTGCATTTTACTTGAATAACTTAAAACACTTTTAAAAACATAAATGACAGTAGACAACATACCTTTGCTCTGTAAACGTACCCCAAAACCACTACAACAACTTCTGTGACAAAAACCAAGAGAAGGATGATGACAAACTGTAAGGAAACAATTGTCAAAAATTAAATACAAATAAAAAAATAGCTCTAAATACTCTTGATAAAAAATTATGATAACTATTAGAAGTTTAAGACAGGTACCAATTCTGCTCCAATTATAAGAGCCATGCTCAGTTTAAGCAAGCAGCCCAGATGGGCTTCTCCTGCATGTCATGACATATGCAGTCAGTGGCACATGAACCTACCGTGGCAAGTCCACAGCGGCTTTCCCGGATTGTGGCACAGCAACCAATGAGCCCAATAATGAAAAGCAGGGCTCCGACAGCTATGATCACTACTGCAGGGATGAGCGTGTACACATCTTCAAAGAAGTGGTCGTAGTCATCATAGGTGATGAAGACATAGGCGCCAACATAGCATAAAATGCCAGCTGCCCCCTGGAGAAAACAAATCAGAGCATGGTAAAAATAAAGGTCTCTAAGAGCTGCTGATCAAGTTTTCCTACCATTTCTTAGAAGTTTATAATCTAATAATATTTCCCATTATTTTTAATTCTATTTGAGGCTTTTTTCCCTCCCAACGGAGCTGAAAAGTATCTTATTCATTAGTAAGAACATTTCTTTATTACAGATGCAAAGTTTTCCAAATCATCCACTTTTCAATAACTAGTTCAGTGACAACCCAAGAACAATCAATCCAACAACTAATATTGATCTCTCTCTCTCTCTCTCTCTCTCTCTCTCTCTCTCTCTCATATTTCAACTATAAATCCAGTACAGATCACGGGGTGGTAAAGCAGACTTCAACAAACAGGGAAATTAGGAATTAAGTGGGAGAGCAAGATTTGAACCCACCAATGTGAGTCCAAATAGTTCTTTCCATCCATCTTGGAAAAAAAAAAACAACAACCAGTAATTAAGATATACATTTCCCCTCCCACTGACCTGGTTATTACTTTAAAGTGGTAAAGCAAGAGGACTCAGTTACTAAAGAACTTTGCAAATTTCTGGAGCTCTTTATCCTTCAGAAGGGTGCTCCATAAACTTCAATCACCTGGGTATCACAGTTGGCTGGAGCTGGGGCTAGAGATCTTGTATTTCCAACAAATTCTCTCTCAGCTAATGCTGCTGCAATTGGGTTTTGACCTAGTCTGAATAACAAGGTTTTAGAGAACCTAACCCAAGGGAGAGTGAATGCAGAAAGAAGAAACAGCTAAGCCTCATTCAATTCTAATACCATTCTCCAGCTAGAGAATTATAAACATTCTCCTCTAATTTTGTTATTGTGTACCGGTGTGATACTGACAACTTCTCAACTTCATATGCTTCTATGTGAATGATCAAGTGCAGTGTGAGGCTAAGTGTTAAAACATTTTGTTTAATGAATTATCACTTGTAAAGTGCTTTGAGATTTTCACAGAAAAGTAATTATTTCACCATCTTTTAAAACACAACACAATTCATTAATCTTCAAATTAGAAAAGAAGCCTCCACAAAGATACTAGAAATGTTATTAACTCCTCTCAATTGAAAATTCAGTTTTCCTTTTTAATGAGGCGGGTGGAGAATCTCCCAAGCAGTGCTAGGGGCCTCTCCTGGTGATTCTAGGCCAACTGGGCCAGCGGTTTGAGGTGAAGGAGCGGAGGATGCAGTGCTGCTTCGAATTTGTGGTACTGGAAATTACATAAACGACGCCAGCAGTGTTCAGGAGCCTCTGTGGTCACACCCAGCAGGGCACGGAGGTAACTTCTGGCCCTGTGTTCCTATGTCACTCCTGGAGGTGCTCAGGGGACCAGACATGGTGCTGGGGATTGAATTTGGGTGGGATGCAAGTAAGGCAAGTATCTTAACCGCTGTTTTCATTTCTAATTAATTTCCCCCTTCTTTTCTCTTTGGCATGTGAGGTGGTGTTGGGGATCAAATCTGGTGGCTCACATTTGAAAGGCGTGGGCTCTACCACTGACCTATCCCCAAGTCCTCAATTCTTCTGAGGACAGGGAAGGGTGTTTTCCAGGTTCTCCGGCTTTCAATTGATTTCTTAAGCTTAGGCTTGGGCTTCATCAATTTGTTTTCCTGCACTAGGCATTAGAATCACTGTCATATCTAAAAAAAGCTATGTAAAGTTGAAAAGACAACTTGATTCTCTTTTAAATAGCAGGGATTTTTTTTTTTTGCAATGAGAAAACAAACAGAATAACAGAGGCAATTTTAAAATTTAAACTATCTCTTGGGCGATGTTAGCCACAGCTTCACAAGTCACTGTAGCTCACCTCTCAGACCTTCACAGTCCCCTCTGGAATTCCCAGACACCTAACTCTCAACCCACCTCAAACTTCTTTCTCTCGCCCATCTCACCTCAGCTCCTTTTTAAAAGATCTAATTTTTGTAGTCAAACATCTGAGTTACTCTGTACATTTGGCCTGCCTTTGCCTCTATATCCCAGCAAGCACCAAACTTCTTCAAGTTTACTTCCAGTACACACCCCTGGAATATCTCCTCTTCAATCCCACTGCAGTTGGTTAAAGATAAATCTGGGCCTTATCACTATCCACCTTAAACTTGTTGACCCTCCATTTTTCAATAATGTTCTTATATGAAAATTTACAAACCTCACAAGACATTAGTTTTTATGATTTTTTTTATTTTTTGGTTTTGATGCCACACCCAACTGTGTTTAGGGTTTCCTTCTCACTTAGGGAATCTCTTGGCTGGGCTCGGTTGGGGATCAAATCTGGCGGCTCACATTTGAAAGGCGTGGGCTCTACCACTGACCTATGTAGTGCTAGGGATCTAACCTGGGTCAGTCCTGTGTAAGCAAGTACCCAACCCATCTCTCTGGCCCAGGACAAAAAATTAGGATGAGATAAATACACAAATATAATACACAGATACCATTTTCTGAAATCTGCCACTCACTTTGGAATTTCCTTTCTTCATCTGGCTGGAAACTTTTTTTTTTTTTTGCTTTTTGGGTCACACCCAGTGATTATCAGGGGTTACTCCTGGCTCTGAACTCAGGAATTACTCCTGGTGGTGCTTGGGGGACCGTATGGGAAGCCGGGGATTGAACTCAGGTTGGCCTTGTGTAATGCTCTACCTGCTGTTACTATCGCTGTACCATTGCTTCAGCCCTGGCTGGGAACTTCTTGCCACTAAGACTGGAACTGTACTGGCATGTGAGGTGACATAATAAATGTCACCTCTTCCTTTATCAAAGCGACTCGACCATTACAAACTGAATTCTGTGCCTTATGTCTACTCACATACATCCTTATATAGCTCTGAGAGACCATCTGTTACAGTGGTTGCAATTATAACGATCCATGCCCCAGCATTCCTTACTGGCACAAATTTTGCTCATCTGGTTTTTCAATCCCGTATCACCTAAAACAGGGCATGGCACAGAGCAGGCATATGTCAAAATATACTGAGTATATTTTTTCTCATCTCATTCCTTGAAATCAGGCTTACAATCCCTCATCGATGACAAACTTCGGTTAGTATTTGTGTTGTGTCTCTTTATTCAAAGTTTATAGTTTTCAGCTAATTGTTCAAAAACTTTGCCAAGCTTATTAAATTCCTAATGGCTGTCATGTCTAGAATGTGTTATTCACACATTCTCCATTTATAGCATTCACTGCCATGCAAAGGTCCTTTGACTTTACTAACACATTTTGAGGGAATATCATACAGAATGATGTCAGGGGAGAGGAAAAAGAGAAAAACAGCTTAACAGTTTGGGTTCATTAATTACTGAAGTATGTGAACTATTTAACACTATTATAAAATACTAGTTTTCTGCATATGTGTGGGATATAAACATATACACATATACACTGCTGAACACTTTCAGTCCTCAGTTTGAGAGCTGAAAAAAATCCTAATATGAATAAAAGTTTTGTCCAGTTCATCTTCACTAGTTATCTCTACCCTCGAGTGTCCTAAATTATCTTAGTTAAATAAAGAATATGTATTTCTTTTGAAAGGCTTAGATTAAGGAGCTGGAGAGATAGTACAGTAGTAGTGCGCTTGCCTTGCACACGACGAACCAGAGTTCAACCCCCGGCGTTGCATATAGTTCCTGAGGAACACCAGGAGTAATCCCTGAGTGCAGAGTCAGGAGTGAAAAGGCTGAAAGGTGAGCTGGGTTAAATCCTTCTTTAAGGACAGTGACAGCGACAGATTAATGAAAACTGTCTATATACTAAAAAATTAGTTTGAAGCAGAGGACACTGAAGAGCTACTTGCAGTTTAAAAATAAAACAAGTCCTCAGACTAAGGAGATTCCTGAGACTCACACTTGGGTCCTATTTGGAAACGGGCCAACTGACATACTTCTAGTGCTGCCACTGCCTCCTCCCACATACCCATCCCCACTCTGAATGTGAGATCCTGAAGAGGCAAAAACAAAATAGCCCAATCAAATCAACATTAAAAAATGCAATGGGAAGCTGGAGATAGCACAGCAGGTAGGGTGCTTACCAGGCATGTGGCTAACTCGGGTTTGATCCCTAGCAACAAATACGATCCCCCAAGTTCTGCAAGGAATGATCCCAGAGTGCAGAGCCAAGAGTAAGCCCTGAACACAGTTAGGTGAGCACCCCCCCCCACACACACACAAATATAATGCAAGGCTAGTAGGAAATGTCATTTGTAAAGTTGCCTCTTCTAACAGATTAAGAAATTTCTCTTCTTAGCTGCAAACCCGTCAATATCCAACATCCACAACAGAACTAAGAACACAAGGTAGCAGAGCTAAGTTTTGAAAAGATTGCAGGAAGCAACATATTTCAGAAACTACACTGATTGCTAGCTTGAGACTATATATATATCAAATTATTCATAAGACTGAAACTACTTTCTCAGTTGAGGACCCCTTCAAATCTGTCTTCTTGTACAGAGTGCTTGTACCTGAAGTTGGTTAATAAGCAACTCTTGAAATTCTATCAGTTTCTCTAAAAATAGAGTGGGTATCCTAACAGTTGAAGTTCTGTAAACACCATAAATACAGGTGCTTTCATGACATTCAACCATCACTATGAAAAACAGATAAGAGTCTGTTAGGTCATTAAAGGTCATTTTAAAGAACTCCTAATTGGTGTGTGTAAGGATTTTGTAGACATGAAGTTGTTGTTGTTTGTTTGCTTGCTATACTGTCTCTCTGGTCTGACAGTAAGATTTTTAATACAGCAGTTGTGGCTATTAAGAAGGCTGAAAGGTGAGCTGGGTTAAATCCTTCTTTTGAAGGGTCATGATGGGATTGGGCTCTACCAAAGGATCTAGACTTTGCCAGCAAAGCAGCTGGGGAGGTGGGGGGAGGTGCGACAGAGAAGGAGATGAAACGTAGAACTTGGAAGCAGCTGAACTGCTTTAGTCACTGCTGAGAAAATCTGGGCCTGTAAGGAGGATCTGTGCCAGAACAGCACACTAAAAATATT